GCAGCGCGTCGTACGACGAAAATCGGATGCAGTGTGAATCCAGCATAAAGAAGAGTACGACGTGACGTAAACGACGGATCCAAACAAGTATCAGCTGTGTTGCAGTCATTGTTCTCTGATCTCTGACTCGTATCGGTTTTGGCAGACAGATCCCGTTTCCTTTGACATTCACCATCGGGTCTCGCGGAAACGGCGGGAATAGCGACGGTGACTAGTCCGCGGCAAAGGACACGCGAGGAAGTGCGAACACTTTTAAGATCCGACGCGACAAGTGGTGAGGAGAGAAAAAACGGGGGAAAGGCTCTTTTTTTCGTTCTTAACGCAATCGTGGCTGCGCGCGTGCTTCTATCCTGGCCCCAATCTCAGTCCGTGCCATTATTCGCCAACGGTTATCCCGTGGGACAATAATAGTGTGAAAAACGGGGCGGTACGCGCATAAGCCTGGCCTCGAGCAGCGAGTCGGACGACGGTGGACTCGCTCCGCCACCGCGCAAAAGGTCCCGTAGTTCCGTACCGACTACCCTAAGACCAGCGGACGAGCACCACTCCTCCAGTCCGGACATGGATAATTATCGGTAATCTCATATTTTTCACCATTTTTCAGTATAAGCACATCAAAATCCAGTTTTTTTAAATAAATTAGAAATTCGGGAGTTCCGACATATTTTCATGTTCCTTTTTTTTTAGTTTTCTTTCCAGAGCTTTTTTTATATAATTTTTTAAATATAAAATTAGTGCTGAATTATTATACTTTTTCTTTTGTTAACAATGGTAATTTTTATATAAACTTCTCAGGATTAAAAAAATCTTGAGAAAATTTAATTTCAAATTCTATAAAAATAAAATATACTAATTGATATACCCTCACAAGTGAATACGGTGATATACTAGTATTGCCATTATGGATAACATTCCAGTATGCATGACAGCGTAATGCAACAGCAGGCCTCAAACGGTGGTGTATCTTCTGGACTGCAACAAAATGGAGCTAAGGCAGATTCTGGTGGGCCTCATGCAAATGGCAATCTATTACCAGAATCAGATAATGACATTAATGGCGTAAATGGAGATATAAATCAGAGTTTGGGACCACCAAAAATAATGGATAAAACTAATCAAGACATTGTGAGACTTATTGGACAACATTTAAAGACAGTTGGTTTAGAGTATGTAATTTATAATTAATTCTCACTATTTTCAGATCAGACCATCAGTTAAAAGACTTTAGTCTAAAAGTAAAAAAGCAGTTTATCTTTATTTTTAAATATATTTGTCTTTTTTTAGTATAAATTATAATAAGTGCATGTAAGCGCGCATGTATACACATACATACACACATGTATATGCGTGCGCATGTGCATGTATATACATATGCACACGCTATTATGCAATGATCATTTTGCTAAAATAACATTAAATAATCAATTTTGCATTTTTATTGATTCAAATTTATCAAGAGAATTATATGAACTATATTTGTATGATAGAAAGTAATTATAGTATACTTTCACTGAGAGAAAACAAAATAGTTCCAGCAACTATAAATTTGGCAACTTTTGCAATTGAAGTACCTGTAACTAGTTTTACAAAGTAATAGAAATTAAAGTAGTGCTGAATATTATAAAAATATAGTCACAGTAACAAATTGTATGCACTATTAATTGGTACTGAAATAGTGACTCAACTACATTGAGTAGTTACTTGAACTTCATGCAAATAGATATAACAATTACATTTTTCTAGTTTAGACAAAAATTTTTAAAGTGTCGCTCAGTATGAGTAGTACGCGGCTTTGTCACCAGAGGGACGTAGCGGAGTTCAGTTTCTCCTAAGAAGAAAACCACTCAGCTTACAATAAAAGGCGCAGCGTTGGTTTCAAACTTGGAAGACAAAAATAAATAAGAAATGCATACACAAATTTGTAACTATGTATTATAAAGCTTTAATAAGAACAATAAGTAAATTAAGTGAACTAAGAAAATATA